GGGATCATCGTGATTGCACCGAGTAACAGGCGCGAGAATCGGCACGCGCCTTGATCAAACACATGGAATCCGATCACTGTTTTACTAGGATTACCCTCTGGTAAACATACAAAAAGCTATGGAAAATCACCATCTTCAATAGGTAAATCAACTATAAATGGGCCATTTCCAATAGCTATGTTAAATTATCAGAGGGTATATGGTTTATTGATGTTTACAGTACTTGCGGTGCCTAGAATCATGGATATATCAATAAGGGGATCCTGGAATTCTTGTGAGGCCTACACCATGTCGGATCCCATGACTCAAAATTACCACAGTCTTCATGTCCTGGCATCGCAGCAATGCCATTATCTTCCAGCGATTTTTTTTGTTTCCATGGCACTTTAATACTCTAAAAGTTGCACGTTTAACCAACAAAAATAACCAACAAAGAGTATTACCAACCAACAAAAAATATTAAAGAATATTCATGTTGGTTTCCATGGCACGTTGCATCCATGGGAATACTCTGAATTTACTAAGCAACAAAAATGATGTACGATGAAGGATCCACACTGCCATCAACAATTCCGGTAGGGGAGATTGTTGCTCTTGGGATCTCGGACGGTGGGAACCACCCATTTGTAAACCATTGTTGGGGTTATGTTCTCACTCAGTCCATGAATTGGGAGATGCGCAATTTCATGAAGCAGTACCATTGGGAATGGGGCCTAGCATTGCGGATGCCCTATCTGATTTGGCAAGAAACTGTGTACGCAACAACTCCTATTCCCTTAGTAGTGAAGGAAAAGATGCCAAAAAAAAATATATGTAAACCATGACCTGGTGTTTTTAGCATGTCTTTGCTAGATTTGGCATACTCTAAGATCACCCATGTACAACAGTTGAAGTTTGTTTTTTCGAAAGGGCAATTTTCCAGCCAGCCACATTTGCTTGAAGGTCCATATATGATGTTCTCTAGTGATGCTGTTGGCATTTCCCATCAATCCCATTTTGTTGGCTTATTCATGCCCCATTTTATGTCTTAAGAAACAGTTTTCTCATACAAAAAATGAACATGGTGGGATATCCATCATTTTTCCATAAACAAAGTGCTATCCATCACCTGGGCATAAATCCATTTCACATAGCAACGCATGAAGATTCCCTAATTGCCCTAATTCATCAACAACGGATATTCCGCTATTCCCAACTCGGTGGCTCTTTTTATTGTCCTCATTTCCTTACCTGTTTGAAGTGAGCTTTCCTAAATTCACAGCTTGGATGTGACCAAGTGATTTATGAGATCCATTTTACCCCATTGATCCAACTGGGGGTACTCCATGTATAACTGGATGATTTCATGGGGTTATTACCCACTTGCGATTCCTGGGCAACAACACCAACTTCAACATCTTCCATTCCCACGGGTGAACGCATATTGTAACCACACTCTGGTCCCTGTCAAAAAACAAACTATATCTATCATATCTATTCATATCTCCCTATTCAGTTCGCAAAATGCAAAACATCAAACTACCCACGCAATACGCAAGGCTTCTGATGAAAATTGCAAGTTTGATAGGGAAAAATCATGAAAATGCACCATTGGAAGTTGATTTTTCAGATGATAAAAGTCGATTTTTAATACTTTTAAATATATTCAAGGACTACGCAGTCGTCCACTTTTTATACTGCAAAACCACCATCAATTCCATCGACTTCGGAGGTGCCAAGTTTTCGGAGCCCAGTGGCTGCGCCCGCCGCGCTGTTGAGCTCGTTGCGGAGGAAGGTTTTGGCCTCCGCACTCGTGACCCGGCTCAAGTTGTCGAGGGCTAGTTACGATTGCGGTAGCTATCCCAGAATGGCTGAACTTCTCAGTTCAGGAAATAGTTCTTGTAGTTCCTCCCGAATCTTTCTACGTAGCAGTAGAAAATTCCTCTACAGCCAGTGTCAAACTACACGGCTTATCTCCCCAGAAGTCAGTTGGGGGACGGTCATCGAGGGTTTTCATGACACAAGTCATCGATCCCAGAACCCATTAGTAGGGGCTAATTACTAGGTGGTGCCCCCCCAGTTATAAACCCTCGTTATTGGAGTTATGTTCGCCAACTTCGCCAACTACGAAGCACCACTTTGTTAGATACCCTCTGATTGTTTAACATAGCTATGGAAAAAATCCCATCTATAGTTGATACATGATGGTTTACCTAGTAAAAAAGATACCCTCTGGTTATTTAACATAGCCATGGAAAATTGCCCATTATAGATGGTTTACCTATTAAAAATGGTGATTTTCCGTGGCTATGTTAAATAACCAGATGGCAATTTTTTCAGTTCCCTATGTTAGATGACCACAGGTTACCTGACGTCTCAACATGAGGCCGCTGTAATTTGCCAAAAAAATGTGGAGGGGGGGTTCACTAGGTTGATTTACATGCGGGAAAGTTCAAACCTTTGACATTATTATACCCACACATGACCCGCCTTGCGCACAGACCCCGTGGTTTGCCCACGAACAGAGTGACGTAAAAACCTATGATTATTTTTTAACGACAGCGACCTCAAACAAAAAAGATCAAAAAAAATAAAAGAAAAAGTGCTGGCGAAATGAGCATGGCACTGCGGCTTGGCATGAGAACTGTACCGCTATTAGGGTTCATTAAACGTTTGCATACAAGATATCAATATCCCACCCCACTGGAACAGTTCATCATACCGCAATTAGAATTTCATTTAGAGTTTACATGTAGGTATCAAATTTTCCACCCCCATGGAACAATCAAATTTTCCACCCCCATGGGACAATCCATCATGATCATGATGATCATCATTATCATCATCAGAGCCAGTTCCAGTTCCAGGCAAAGCATGAGGTCTTGCCGTATTTCGGGGGTACTGACTGTAGATTTATCATTGGTAAAACATTGGGTTCAAATTGCTGAAGGCAACCACTAAATTATACTGATATATAGTGGGATATAATTTCTAGTGGTTAATGGGTGTAGCTACCAATGCAAGATATATGTTGGATTTGCAATTACACATGGCTAACCTTCTTAGGCACTGACTATGTAATTTTGAAGTTTGAAGAAGCTATTTTGGGAATCACAGGGTTTAACTACACACCGCAAGTGATGATGGTTAATCCATGTGAAGCCTACGAGCAAGAAGAAAAACCATTTTCATCAGGATAGTGACGCCAGGCGATTGCCTTGATCTTTCCCAAGTAACCAACTGAGCTAGCAAGCTTCGCCCTGCAAATTCTAGGATGCACTTCACCACTGAGCTACCAGAAGCCAGCCCATAAGCCACAAGGTTGCCAAAGCCACGGCCACACAGTCGGCCAGCTCATGTTTCCACCTCCTCTTCCTCCTCATCAAGTCTTGCACAGGTTGTCCATTTTGCAGTGCAGACCTTGCATCTGTCTCGCTGCCATTTCCTAGCTCCAAAACAAGGACTGTTGACAATGACCGGTGGGGCTCAAGAATTCGACAACATGAGTGCCAGATTCGATTTAAGAAAATAATAACAGGAAACTTCTGTAGATTTCCCTTCACCCAATCGGCTGAACAGAACACAAGAGGAAATATCAGTATAACCCATAAATATGATTTCGTTTGATGCTCCATAATATTTCTCTGGAAGAAGTGAGGAGATGTTTCCATCGTGTAACCAACCTGCATCAGATGGTTGAAACCTGATGCGTCCACCCCACCCGGGGGAAACATGCTGAAGCCCAACCCCGGCAGTGAGCTTGTTGTAATTAAATTTCGCTAACTATAGAGAAATAAACCACAAAAACGGAGCTTGACCCACATTGAGTCGCATGAATTTATACCTGACCTATACATGTTACCCCGTATTCTGCAGAATCTGTAGGTATACATGGGGGTGCATCCCAGATAGTATTTGTTTATAAAGCACTATCATACCCCAGTTATATATGGGATACCTCTGGTTATATAGGAGTGATAAACAACTTGCATTACATAGGCAAATGGCAAACACCATTGATGTGCAATGATGTGCATACATACGGATAGCTAGAGCTTGCCTGCCAGCTGGTATCCCATGACCGTTTGTAAACTCTGCCCCTCATTCTGCGTGGAACTTCCCCCGCATGCGATGCCCAACTCCGGTCCAACGCCTTGTCTGGAAACTGGTACAACCTCGACCTGAGGAGAAGAGCTGAGAGGGTACAGGACCCAGAGCCCACTGTGATGGGCCATAAGTGGCACTAGTCACTACAGCGGGATTTCTAAACTGAAAAAAACACCTTTGGTGGTTTGTTGATCCGCTGCAAATTCCATCTAGCCACGAAACACACATATGTTTTTTTTCGAAAATGTGTGGCTACTTTGATCCATCCAGTATCTGGCATAAATGATACAACCAGGAGATTCGGATGTTGACCCTGGAAGGTCACCATCCGACTCGTTTTTGATTTGGGTGGGACCGCGTTTTGCGATTTCAGCCAGGGCAGTACACCTTATTGCACTTGAGCCAAAGGTACGTTCGTTTGGTACCTTGGCAGTGCTGGTTCAAACGTCCCCCCGTTGTTGGGATTTTGGAGCACAAACGAAGGAAACAACAAAGGCCACCAAAGCAAGGCAAATGCGCTCCCCCCAGCCAGGAGCACGTATGCCGAGCACACACAAGAAAGTGCTCAAATCGCCAACAAAAAAGGATGACCAGCATACAAGATGCTCAGCAAAGATGCCTATGACATATTTAGTCAAGGCGGTGAAAAACAAATTAGGAGCTCTCAAGGGCGCAAAAGCGTAGCAAGGGGCAGCGCCAAAAGAGCTGCTGAACAATGCGAGGCCAGCGCAGTCAGCGCCACAAAAGGATGAGATCCTCATGCCGGCGACCCGAGCCGAACTCTGGAGTCCCGGATTACCGATCTTAACCCTTAGTCTTAACTAACTTACATTGATGACCCGAGCCGAACTCTGGAGTCCTACGTCCGCCAAGCATCGTCGTTTCTAGGGTTCCGGCCACTAAGGTCTTTACAGTTAGGGTCGGGACCATTGTTGCATACCAAGGGACTGGGGATCAAATTTACCAGGGGCTAATGCCTTTGTAAAAAGATCGCCCAATTGTTCTGAAGTAGGGGTTTGTGACAAAGTGCACCATGATGAACAAGCTTCAGAAAGGGACGCCAATGATAGCTTCGGGGTTCTGGCTAAATGGCGAAGTTTGATACTATATCCCTTGCGAATGGCTTGTACTACGGCGGAGTTGTCCTCCCGCACAATTGCTTTTGGAATTTTGCTCCCCAACAAAGTGGTCAAAAGCATCAAGGCTGGCGAAAGTTCCTCATACACACCTTCACTCAAGGCATTTAACTCAGCATCGGCTGTGCTCCTAGCAACATGCTGCTGTCTTCGCGATGACCATGCTATTGGACAGAAAGTACCGTTCGGTCCGCGAATGACGAGGAACAAACCACTGGTTGATTTAGCGGGAAAAGGGCATCCTCCTAAATCTGCATCCACGTACAGGTCTATGGTGCAGTTTTGAGGTTCATCACAAACCGTGGAAGTCAAACACAAATCTCTGGTGGAGTTTAGGTAGGATACCAAACGGTACAATTGTTTGTCGCTGTTCTTTGACCATCGTGTTACCTGGGTGGCCAAGGCACTGATCGCATAGGCAAGGTCTGGCCGTGCCAAGCGGCAGACCCAAAGAAGTTTCATTAAAACAGATGATGCCTTATGTGATATCTGGCCCTCAGTTTCGTAGTCTTCCTGGATCAAAACCCCTTCATTCACATATGGAGTTGAAACATTACGGAAAACAACCTTGCCCCCTGCGGCCTCAACATACAAGTCGATTGCTTGTTGACAATAGTCACGCATGTTGAAAATGCAAACATTGTTTGAGATCTCATGACTCCTACCAATGAACTGGTTCAACAACTCCACATCATCCAACTGAATGCGTTCTTTGAGGGAAGCCCAAAATTGGTCCTGGTGAGCTGCAGGACCAGCGACCAACACGTCATCTACATAGACAACCACCAACAACATGGTGTTGGGACAATAGTACACACTAGGATGACCTTCCACAGGCAACAAACCAAGATCCCCAATCAACACTTGTTTCAAATGAAGATCCCAAAAGGCAGAAGCAAGTGGATGACCGTATAATGCTTTCTTCAATAACACTGTGGGTTGGCGATACTTACCAAACCAAGTTGGCAACCAAAGCTCTTGTGGAAGCACCACATAGGTTTCTTCTTCCATCAAAAGCATGGCCTGAAGAAAAGCCCTAGTGCAATCGGCGGCCTTGAGGACGTTTCCAGAAAGGAGTCCGTAAAATATAGCCAAATTGATTGCCTGAATATTGGTTGGTGTCGAAAACAAAGCACCGAACTGTGCGGCACCTCCCCAGGAGTCTCGCACATTATCTCCTCTAAAGACAAGACGTCCCTTGTAGCGACGTTTTTGTGGCGATTCCCAGTGTTTGATGGATGCAATTGGCATGACTTCTGCAACATGAATCACCTTGTTTTCGCGCCGAGCTAGAGCTAAACGATCACTCTTTTCCATCACACTGTCATCATCCCATACAAACTTTTCTCGAACCCCTTTCCCTTCTTCTTTGATGGCCTGAATGGCCTTTGGATCAGCCCTCATTTCTTCACGCGTTAGTAACTTGTGAATGGCTCCAATAACACAAATTTCAGGAGTGTGAAATCATGAAGCCTAGCTCTATGAGGGTCAATTTTGAAAGGAAGTACTGGCATCATAGGAACCATGTCCATGATGACCCCAGGAAAAAGTGTGGTGATAATGCAAATGGCCATAGTGGTATTGCGCAAGCCCGGCTTGACGGTGATCTTTCCTTCTAGCTGACCATGAAAACCCTTTGCATGTCTGCATGTCTTAGTCTGAAGCTCTCTTATGAGTCTTGGGTTGTCAGTCTGAATGGTCCATTTTCTTTGAAAGTGTTTTTCATCAGAGATGAAACCAAAAGCGCACGCGTCCATGTGAACTGCTTGCAACCCAAGGGACGACATACAGTTCTGTACTTTTGGTTCGTTCCACCCCTCTGAGTGGTGACTCCATTCAAAACTGACTGACCCGCCACGAGAGCATTGTACAAGTTCGGCTAAGCTATGAAACTTGGTTACCAAATCCAGCGAAGCAGCCCTGTATTCAATAGTATATGGAAGTGATCCCCAAAGATGAACAGGACACTTTTCTTGTTGGATTTCATCTTGCACCCACAGAAGGAGTTGCTGAAATGCGTCTCCATCTTCAGCGTTCAAACATTCTTTCGTTACCCCCAAATAGGAAATGCCCAAACTCTCAGCAATCTTGCATACGGGTGAAGTTTCCTTACAACAGAACTCAATGAAAAGGCCCTTGGCTTTCCCAGCTTTCTTGGCCACACCCCCGGGAACCGGAAGAAACTCTCCTAGCTCTTCATCAAAAAAACCAGATTCAGGGGTTGAAGCAGCTGAAGTTGGTGTATAACCATTGCTTTCACCCCTATCTTCATTATCTGGTGGAGGACAAATTGGCACCTCATCGTGGGCAAGCGCATCCTCATCTTCAACAATGTCAAACAAATAACCCTTTTCCGTTGGTTCTGTACCACGCATCACGTCACCATCTCCGCCGACATACCCCCCCCCGGGATCCAAAGCAAGTGGCTCAGCAGCATCTAACAAGGCATTAAACCGCGCACGACAAGCAGCAGTGTGAGAATAGGTGCCACGCAAGCAGCCATCGCATTCTGGAGTAGGCCCATACTGCAGCACACGTCGCTTGGTGATAGAGCGATTCCTGAAATCCTCAACACCTTCATCATCTACAAGGGCACGCGACGGAGGAATCTCGGGTAAAAGGCTTTTCAGCATGGGGACATGTGTGAAAGGGAAAATCCAACGACCACTGGGGGTCACAAAGTCTTTGGTTACTATCTCACGAACACGATCTGACTGAGTCAACGAGGAAAGATCAAACAAGATATGGACATCCTTACAACGCATGGCAGGCAAAACCTCTGGACCAACATAAATAGCGGGAATGCCACTAGGAGCAAAATCTTTAACCCGCGAAAGATACCAAACCAAAGCACCAAAGGGAACCATTCTGGTATCAGGTTGATATTGCAAAGCCATGTGAATTTTAGAGTCATACTCTACTGGCGGTGGTATTGGACCTTCAACCCCATCTGGTAAAGCATCATCTTGTTGACGAACCAAGTTTCGCAAACCATCGGGATCGTGAGACAATGCAGTGGTGAAATCATGCTGATATGTGAAACATGTCATGGCCCTTGGCCAAAACTCAATCCCAAGTCCGCTCTGCAAAAGTAAGGATCGGGTACCTTGACGTACATTCCGAATAGCTGATTCAGCAAGGGGATTATGCAGTGGATCGTTGGGAACTGATGGGTCAGGGTACAAACCCAAGTCACGAACAGCAGCCAAGATACTAGGATATCTGTCGGAGGCCACAATTGAGCGATTCTCCCTGCAAAAATGCCTAAGTGCGGCTTCGACAGACACCTGGGTTTTGTCCTTAGCAGGATACGCATGCATGACACCTGAATAGGCGTCAACGCAAATCAGGGCGTACTGTTCCCCCCGGAACCCTTCACTTGTAGACTCAAGATGGTCACATGCGATTTTCTGCAAGAAGGATCTGGGAGCTTCAATAATCTGGGCAAACTGCTTATCTTCGGATTGATTTTTAAAACGTTTATGGGCATGAGAACGAAGTTTTGCTTGCCTACAAACGTCACACGAAGGATGAGCTGGTTGATGAGTCAAAAGATGGTCAATTGGAATGCGAGGAGGAATCTTGGAATCTCCCTCTTCAAATGCTGGTGGTGGCGAGCCTTTAGGCTCATCACCTTCGGCTTTGTCTAGATCACCCGAAATGGGCCCCACAGGTGAACCAGAACCACGAATGATAGCTTCAATGCCCTCAATATCTGAAAGTTCATGTGGAGGATCTGATGAGACAACTTCTGGAACAACAGCTTCGCTCAAAGGAACATCTAGCGACCCTTCTGGAACGTCAGCGTCGAACGCCGGCATGCCAGATGCTACGGTTGCAGGCATCCCTGAAACAAAGGAAACTGATTCAGTAAAGATAGGCACACAGTGTTCTACTCGGGTGGCAGTCACACACCTAGAAGTGTCGCAACAAACCTCAAAGGAATTCCCAGGCGGCACAAGTGTTGGAACATGAGATGGTCCCCAAAAGAACGAAAACCCTTTCTCAACTAGCTTACCAAGACTACGAACATAAGGACATGACTTCAACATGTAAATCAAACCCTCACCAGTGCTCTCACCTTGGATCCCAATCGTCTTGGACGAATCTTTCACGCCCCCCCCGTTTCAAATCGAAGAGGGTTGCTGGAAATTGTTTCCACATCTTGGATGAGTTGTTGAGGCACCCCTTGACGCATAAATGCAGGAATGGAAGCAAGATCTTCTCCAGCCCCACTGTCAAGCGCAAACTCGATGTCAAAGGATGAAGAAGCAACTGAAGCCGAGGTAGCGACATTGGCCGCGGTCCCCATTACCAGCATCGCAACTAAGCCTGGCTTGGACTTAGGTGCAGCAGGAACTGCTTTGGCCTTGGGCTGAGCTCCTGCAGTGTCATGACTGTACGGGCATTCAGCCCCACGTCGGCACAATCCCTTGGGGAAAAAAATGCATGGTCCTTTTGGCCTTTCAGGTTCATTGGAACCAGTTGACTCTTTCTTTGGAGCATTGCTCGGGTTCTTCTTGTCATGAGATTTGGAATCATTTGACAAACTTGAGGCAGGCGGTGATTGCTGAGAACCTTTACCTTTACCAAGCCCTCCTTTCCCTTTAGGTTTCCCTTTCCCTTTTCCTTTACCACCCTGAGTAGCGGCAACAGCAGCCTTGGGATCCGGGGAAACTTTGGAAGGAGAGGCAGGAGTTCCCAGCTTCTTGGGTCCTTTTCGCAGTCCTTCCTGAATTGAGGAAAGATTCTTTTCATGTTGTTGTTCCGCAATTTGACGTTGCAGCCTACCCCAAAGATACTCAAATGACCTTTCAACAGCATTGCTACCTGACTCTCGAATACGATCCAAAACAATTTGCATTGACCTGATTCTTTTCAATCTTTCGAAAAGCCATTTGGAAAGCATTGCATCTGGCGGTCTATCCGTGATTGGAAGTTGACCCAAAATGAATTGCACCCTATCTCGAAACGAAACTAGTGATGCCTGGTCACCTTCAGGACTGGGTATTTGGAAAAGTTCTACCGATGACACTACCCCACCTAGGGCTCTGTCCAAATCAAATTCGCGAATAATCATGTTCAGCAACACTCTTCCTCTAAGTTGCAACCCTTGTGTCATAGATTCTTCCAAATACGACTGTATGCGGGGACCAAAATAACCACGCAAACATGAATCGCGGGTCAGCCAACTGCACAGCATTCGGTCGAAACGAGGAAAGCCCCCAGAGTCAAATCTCAATTGCTCTACTTCATGTGGCAGCTTGGCATGAAAAGCTTCCATTAACCAAGTGTAGAGAAAATTCTGATCGCTCTTATCTAGGGCTATTAACATGGGTAACACCGCATTCTTCCAAGATCGCAATGCACCCGCCGAGTCTGGCAATGGCGGAAGTTTGACCGAAGATACATCTTTCCACCGAAGGCACTGATCCTCCATGGACACAGGATCATCATCATCATCATCCTCAGATTGTTGATTTGACCTTGGTACATGCCTGGCAGATCTGGCAGGGCTAAGTGGGGGAACTGGAGGTGGTGGAATTCCTGTGTCAGGGATCAATTCTTCTTCCGGATCACCTACAGCATTAATATCCTCAAAACCCCATTGTTCCAAGGCAACCAACCGCTGATTGATGTTCAAGAGATCGAATTCAAAAGTTCCCATCCTTTCAACCAATTGATCAATCCTAGCCATTAATTCCGCGTCATTATGTCTCAAAGAAGGTGACGATGTAGCCCTAGCAGAAATCAACTCTTGCTGCAATTCCCAAATCTGTGCTACCAAGTCTCTCTCCCTTTCTGCAAATTGATTCACCAAGGCTCTTTCGTGATTCATGATGGCCTGAGCTGCATTAGCCTGAGTCTGAGCAACAGTTTGCGCAGCTTCAGACGCGGTGTGAGCTGCAAAGGAGGCAGCTTGAGATTGAACCTGAGCAACTTCAACCGCGGCCTTAGTTCTAGCCTCAGTCACCAGTTGTTGTGCCTTAGACTCAAGAGAAGAAACAACTCTCTCTGCCTCGGCTCTGGTCTCAGTCTCTCTTTGGTTTGCTGAAAGGACTTCAACTGCAGCTTGTCTGACAACTTCAGGGTTGAGAGACGGAGCTACATATACTTGATTCAGCACTCTCTGATCTGACGGTCTCTCAGTTGGTCCGTTTTGTCCCGTTTCACCTTGGTGAAACCCTGATGGAAACCCTCTTCCTTCGGAAGGCGAGTCAACATTCATGGGTACCCCCAAGGATTGGGATCTTCTATTCCTACCCTTGGCATGGCCAACCCGCACCACGGCTGAAGATGGCTTTTTAGAACCGGTACGAACAGACCGAACAGAAGAACTTCTGGAACCACTTGGTGAGTTGTGCAACATTACTGGCATTGCCATTTCATTCTGATTCCCTGTTGATGAAGATGACAAGTTCAGACTCCCACTCCCTGACATGCTGTCGAGCTTCACTGGTAAAATCCCCGGTGGAACACTCGTGGAACCACAAGACGTGTCAAACTCTGGAGCCCTTCTCCGACAGACTGAACACAAGGCCAGCGACCGAATTTGTGGCTAGTGACTTGGACTCCTACCACTTGCCTAGATCTGATGGATTCGATTACCAGAGTTTTGTCGTCAACGTGTGCAGAACAATTAGATGAATCGACGCACCTCTTAAAATGATCAGCGGTGATTTCCAAAACAACCAAACGCTCTTGAGGGATTCCGTGGTTCGACAAGTAAGTGTTTAAATCGACCACTTCTTGTCTTAGCCTAGCCCGGCGTTCCCGTGATTTCTGTCCCTTTTCCCCAATATACGAACAAATCCCAATGCGGTGAGTCTCCCTGGATTGCAAGAAATCTAGGATAGGTTTGCGATGGGATGCCCTGATGCCCTCAAAAGTTGGGGAGCCAGCTCTGTCAAGATTCAAACAATTGTGATAATCCAAAGACACACGGACCTCTAAAGGAGGAGGTGGCTTACTCGTCACAATCACAGGTCCACCGTCAGCCTTCCCAAGATTCACCAAGGGAGCACTGAGTGACTGCTTGGGCGGTGCTTTGGGAAGTGTTTTTGGCTGAACAACTGGAACAACAGGAGCGAGGGGAAACGCTAAGCCCTCAGCCTTTGGGATTCCCGCAACAGACTCAGAAGCTGCTGGACCTAGACCTTTTGCCTTTGGAACAACAACAACACAAGAGTCAAAAGAGGTGGTCAAAACAGGAGTACAGTTTGGTGACGGAACACTTAGCTCAGAGGACCTCAAACCAGGGAACTTTGGTGATGAAACGATGGGAGTTGACTGAGATGAAGTTGCCTTTCCTTCAACAGAACTTGCCGAAAAGCTGGGGTTGGTTTGACCTTGTTGCTTTGCAGCAGTGACAGGCACCGAATCCTCTTTGATGACAGCTTCAACAGTCTTAGGAAAAGCAACAATGGATGAGCTCTTAGCGCTACGATCAGCTGATGAACCTGCACCTGTGCTCACGAAGGCCTTAGGAACAAACTCACCACGCTCAAAGCGTTCTCTTAGAACTTGCTGTTTCTTTGCCTTTTTACCTCCACGCCTCTTTTTAGCAGGACGTTCGTCACTGAAATTTTCACTCATGCAACACAAAGCACCCTGAAACCCTGCTAGCCCCTTGCCTCAACCCGCGCCGAACGCGGAAGATGAGGGTGCAGATGAGAGAGACGGATAGTCCCAAGATGCAAGCGCAGTGAGCAAGAGCAGCGGCGCACAAACGGGAAGCAGCAGCTAGGCAACGAAAGCAGCAATAGCAAATGGCAAGCGAGGCACGAGTCGATACGGCTGGATAACCGCGTTTTGCGATTTCAGCCAGGGCAGTACACCTTATTGCACTTGAGCCAAAGGTACGTTCGTTTGGTACCTTGGCAGTGCTGGTTCAAACGTGGACCTAAAGAATGGGTGCTTGAAAAAAACTGATGTGGAAATTGCATATCTATCTTTACATATAATATGTATATATATGTGTGTGTGTGCGCATATATATATATATAAATGCACATACTCTATAATATATGTTTATTTAAAAAAAAAAAACGTATGGCTAAATACTGTTTGCAAACATTTTTTTCAGCAACTCTAAGGGCGTACTTAGGCTGCTTTGATGAGTGACTGCTTTAAATGAGGGAATCAAATTTGACACAACATTCCCCTTCCAAAAAGATCCTTTCAAAATCCTTGATGTGTCCAAGTTCTTCCCTTGCAAATCCAATGAAAATCCCAGATGGTGCCTACAGTTGCCTACATGGTCAAGAAATGACATGCAATCCCATGTCAAAACATTTAAACCGAGCGTTTGTTTGTGTAACAAATGTGTTTACCTTTTCTCCAGCCATTCCCATACTTGTCCCAACTTGCTCCAAATATTCCCAAATCATTCCTGGTTCCTTCCCAGATCGTTCCCACATTTCCTAGATCATTCGCAGTTTTGCCCCCTGTCCCTACAGTTTTCCAGGTGTTTGCCGTGGTTTTCCCATTGTTTTCTCATTTTTTCCCCAAAAGTTTTCCCAAATCATTCCCAATTTTGCCTCCCAATGTTGCCTCCGCCCCTCAAGGTTTTTGTCTCCATGGTTTCCTAGTTTATTCACAGGGTTCTCCCAGATCGTTCTTTGATTTGATTACACGTCAAGCCTTGAACCAGTTTTTTTACAAAGGCTGTAACAGGCAAAATTGTTTCACTGGAAATCCGTTTTTTCCCTTGCAAAAAAATCCTGGGTTTCATTGCGATTTTACTGGTGCCAACACAAGCTGAAGCAACCCCTTATTGAAGCAGTCAGACTAACGACCCTAAGATAAAACCCCTATCATTGTTGGCTAATCTCCTGATGTTCCATGTCAAAGAAACACATTTTTCACCAAGTTTCCTTGGGATGGGAACACCACCAAAGGTGATTACAGTGGATGATGGGTTTGTTCATGCTGAAAAAGCCGCTCGTTGGGACGGTCTTCGTTAGACCAAAAAAAACGTTTTGCTTGGTCAAACGTTCATGCGGTCGTATTAAAATAGCCAAATTTCACCATAGATCTGTTGTAAAAATACTCATTTTGCTAGGTTCAAACGCTGTTCTTTACATGACTGTTGGGTTTACAACATATTGATTGCCACATATTGCCACTATACTATGAAATACCGCCCTTTCGGCCTTGGTCTTACATTGGCTCTATTCATTTGAGGCTCCCTTATGGTGGTAGAATTCGGCCCCAAGTTACGGTTGGTTAACTCCTAGCCTCGGGTTTGTATGCCGGTCTTGGCGGGTTAAAAAATGTAAATTTGCCCTATAGATTATACACATATCTATACACACACATAGATAGATAGATAGATAGACAGACAGACAGAGATAGATAGATAGATAGATTAGGTAAGATTAGATAAGATTAGATAAGATTAGATTAGGTTAGATTAGATTAGATTAAATAAGATTAGATTAGATTAGATAAGATTAGATAAGATTAGATTAGATAAGATTAGATAAGATTAGATAAGATTAGATAAGATTAGATTAGATAAGATTAGATTAGATTAGATAAGATTAGATAAGATTAGATAGATTAGATAGATAGGATAGATAGATGGATGGATAGATAGATAGATAGATAAGATTAGATAAGATTAGATTAGATTAGATAGATAGATTAGATAGATAGATTAGAGAGATAGGATAAATGGATGGATGGATGGATGGATGGATAGATAGATAGATAGGTAGATAGATAGATAGATATAATACAGAAAAGTAAACATCTGCATTATATATAAAGACTCATTCAGGGCGCCCCCCCCCCGCTGAAGCCAAAACTGCGCAATGAACAAATGGGTGACTAAACCTGAATTCATCTTTAAGTCCGGGGCCGTCAACCTATATAATTACATATATCATATATATATAATATCGTTAAGTATAGTGATAGATACATATGCGCCTGCGCACATGGAAACAATTCTATGTGTGCAATTGTGTTTATATACATGTTTAATTGTTATTAAATAATCATATATATATATGTCTATTCATGTCTATTCTAATTACTGATCCCGGCAATGCCAGCAGAGCTCTTTCCAGAAACCTTCCGGTTCGTCAACAAACGTTGCAGAACAGGCACTTTACCAAGTGCTTGACAAACGCTTGCTAAGCGAAGATGTGTACGCAGAGCTCCTTTGATTTCTGAGACATTGCATCAGCTCATTCCATCCACTTTCAAACCAGCATCAATGTTATAAGCCAACCTTTTCGCAGGGCAATCTGGGATTAGCCATCCACCCGCCACCGATTTTTGCACCAAGCAACTCAAGGATGTTTCGCACAGCCTGGCACACCGGGACCCGCCGGTAGCTACCGGGTAGCGGCCAACCGCCAGAAAATCTCAAGGGTGGTTTTGTGACTGCCTTTAAAGCAATAAACGTCATGAATTTGAACGCAAGAAAGGCTCAATAGATTGAAAGCAGCAACAAATATTGCAAATGTACACAACTAAATGATGATGGTACGGGATTGAATTCAGAAACATGCACGTTCATTGGTGGCCCTGGCTACTTGGTTTTTAAAAAATCCTTCTCGGAAATAGCATTGAATATCTGGAAATATGCAACCTGGCTACGTTTTGACAAAGGGGTGGCTCTGTGAGCACCTGCTCGGAAACTTCGGTGTTTGTGTTTTACTTGCGAAACCTTGGTGAAGGGATGTGAAGGGTTGTATTTAAAGATTTGAAGTCAACAACAATTTCAAGTTGGAACCCGAATCTAGCAGTTACCAATACCACGCAAATATATATATATGGATGTTCCAGAGATCACGTTTGGGGTCCGTTGTGCGCGTGTGTGTGTGTGTCATGTAGCCATGTTCGAT